CGGCGTCGCTTCCCTCATCTGTTTTTCAACGGCCCTTTCAACAGGTACGGATATGATGCCGGCTTGGATAACATTGTGAAACAAGATACCGATGGCCTCTGGAAATTCCGCTTTCTGGCTGAATGGCCTGCCCAGGGTCAGCTGAATGTTTGGGGTATCAACCCTGATAATGAACCAGACCAAAGCTACATCTATGGAGATTCCAACGGAGACTCCATCTTAGATCGCCTACCACCTTCTTCGCTCAGTGTGACCACCATAAACATCACTCAGCATCCACCAAATCCGCACGTCGCTTGGAGAATACAACTCGATGACTCGAATTTGCAATTTAAGCTTGTTCCTACAGGCTCTAAATACGTTCAAATGGCCCTCTTTTTCATTCTTTGGATTGTTCCCATCGTTACAGCGTCAACCTGCGCTTATGTGTTCATGAAAACATTCTACCGAATCAAGTTCAACCAAGTCGGCGTGAGTGAAAAGAAAACGCTCATATCAATGGATTTCATCAATCAATTCAAGATCGGCCACGTGGAAGACGGACAGTCTAGGAACCCATTCAGACGCCGCGCAAGTAGGTCGAATTTTCTCCAAAGCACTTCTGCGTTTGGTGATCGAACCACCCGCCGACGAAAAGTCCTCATTGCCACCATGGAATATGAGATTGACGACTGGGCTATCAAGATAAAAATTGGTGGTTTAGGTGTTATGGCACAGTTGATGGGCAAACACCTCGGACACCAGGATCTTGTCTGGGTTATTCCTTGTGTCGGTGGAGTGAAGTACCCCGTCGATAAACAAGCAGATTCAATGTTTGTTATGATCTTGGGGAATTCCTACGAAATAAAGATTCAGTACCATCAACTGAGAAACATCACATATGTTTTGTTGGATGCACCCGTTTTCCGCCAGCAATCCGCTACCGAGCCCTACCCTGCCCGTATGGACGACCTTGACAGCGCTATCTACTACTCTGCCTGGAACCAATGTATTGCCCAGACAATGAAACGGTTCCCCATTGATATGTACCACGTCAATGACTATCACGGCTCTGTGGCTCCATTATATCTTTTGCCTGAGACGATCCCTATTTGCTTATCACTCCACAACGCCGAATTTCAAGGCTTATGGCCTATGCGGACACAGAAAGAGAAAACCGAAGTCTGTTCTGTTTTCAACCTTGATTTGGATGTTGTCACGCGCTATATTCAGTTCGGCGAGATCTTCAATCTTCTTCATGCCGGTGCAAGCTATCTTCGTCTTCATCAACAAGGCTTCGGTGCTGTTGGCGTGTCAAAGAAATACGGCAAGCGTTCGTACGCTCGATATCCGATCTTTTGGGGCTTAAGAAAAGTTGGACACCTACCCAATCCCGACCCCTCCGATACAGGGGAGTGGAATAAATCCTTGCCTAAGGAGAGCGAAGTTTATATCGACACTGACTTCGAGATCCGCAGAGCAGATCTAAAGCGCCAAGCTCAAGAATGGGCTGGTCTCAAGCAAAGACCCGACGCTGAGCTGTTAGTTTTCGTTGGAAGGTGGTCTATGCAAAAAGGCATCGACCTGATCGCGGATGTCTTACCTGGCGTATTAGAGAGTCGAGAAAATGTCCAGTTAATCTGCATCGGGCCACTTATTGATTTATATGGCAAGTTTGCCGCGTTGAAACTGGACCGAATGATGAAGCTATACCCTGGTCGGGTGTGCTCCAAACCTCAGTTCATGGTTCTACCGCACTTTGTCTTCTCTGGTGCAGATTTTGCACTAATTCCGTCACGCGATGAACCATTTGGTCTTGTCGCGGTCGAATTTGGTCGGAAAGGTGCCCTTGGTATTGGGGCGAGAGTAGGGGGACTTGGACAGATGCCTGGCTGGTGGTATACGGTCGAGTCAACGACCACCTCCCACCTATTAAAACAGTTCAAATTGGCTATCGACAGCGCGTTAAACTCCAAGTACGAAGTGAGGGCGATGATGCGTGCAAGGTCTGCCAAGCAACGATTCCCAGTCGCCCAGTGGGTCGAAGATCTTGAGATCTTACAGACCACATCGATGCGAGTCCATCAAAAGGAGCGAATCAAATCGCAGAGTCAGTCTGCTGCTACCGGTGCATATAACGCCATCTATGGGATGATGACACCGCAGGCTGCGTCAACAAGATCGGGCGCATCGACACCCCCATTACAACCCTCAAGTCGCCCGGGTACGATGGGGTCGCTACAGCGAAGTTCTATAATTTACAGCCATGAAGCAAGCCCTGGACTTGACGAGAGACCTAGGTCGGGACTCAGCCGCCAGATGTCCTTCAGTCTTCGGCCGGTATCTGGCACCACGGAGCCTCGTAATTTACGCGAGGTGGGGAAAGGCAGTGATGACAGTGTCGGTAGAGCCTCTCCGGAAGCTGAAGAAGATAGCGACGATGAAATGATGGTAACCTGCTACGGCGAGGATAACTACTCCATGTCACCTGAAGTAGCAGACTCAGGACGGGGACAAACCCCTCAGCCTACGGGTGTAGCGCTCACCAAAGAGGCTCTCTCGGCTCAACGGGCAAGTCAAGGCTTCCTGTTGGCTCGATGTACCAACACTCCCTCTAGTTCAGCGGCTCCGAGTACTGTCGGGACAGATGAAACTCTTGCTCCTCCTTCTCGCCCATGGGCGGAGCCAGAAAACCGCGCCTCGGTTTTGTCTGTCGATTCGGTTGTTGGAGAGAAGAAAGATTTTAAACTTCAGAAAGTCGACCCGTTCTTCACTGACAGCAATGGCGAGTACTACAGGGTTTTTGAGAAAAGACTCGAAGAACTCAATGGGGCGAACTCAGACACCCAGCTCTGCATTGAGCAATACCTCGAGAAGAGCGAAAAGAAATGGTTCAACAAATTCCGTGATGCACGTCTTGGCCTGAAACAAGGATCCCCAGCTGGCTCAGTGCATCGGGGCAAACTAGGAACATCCCCGGATGGGTCAGTTACCAACGATGACGCGACATCCCATGAAAGTGGTGAGCGCGAGAGAAAAGAGGCCAAGCCAGACGAATTCCTTCTCGGTGATGACTACGTGCCACCAACCGGGCTAAAGAAATGGATGCAACTGCGTATCGGAGACTGGCCGGTATATTCACTCTTCCTCGGACTAGGCCAGATCATTGCTGCCAATTCCTACCAGATTACCCTTCTCACAGGAGAGGTCGGACAGACTGCTACAAAACTGTACGGAATCGCGACTGTTTACCTCATAACTTCAATTCTATGGTGGCTTTTCTTCCGATACTGCAAATCCGTGCTCGTTCTCAGTGTGCCATGGTTCCTATACGGAACGGCGTTTTTGATCATTGGACTGGCGCACTTTGAGCCCAACTCACACACTCGCGGGTGGATTCAAAATGTTGGAAGTAGTATGTATGCTGCTGCGTCATCGAGCGGATCTATCTTTTTCGCCCTCAATTTCGGCGACGAGAGCGGCGCACCGGTCAAACAATGGGTGTTCCGTGCTTGTCTTATTCAGGGCACGCAACAAGTCTATGTTATCGCTCTTTGGTATTGGGGTTCGACTTTGACTAAAGCTACTAACGCTGGAATTATGGATGTTCAAGGTAGTATCACAAACACTTGGAAGATGACGTGCGTATAACATCGAAACATTCACGTGAAACACCGGAGATTTGCTAACAATTGGTATAGAGCAATATGTACACCAATCACCCTCCTTTTATGGGCAGTTGGTCTCATCGTCTATTTCGGCTTGCCAAACTACTATCGTCAAACTCCCGGCAAAATGCCATCATTCTACAAATCTGTGTTCCGGCGCAAAATTGTACTTTGGAACTGGGTGGTCGTTATCATCCAAAACTTCTTTTTGAGTGCTCCATATGGTCGAAACTGGAACTGTGAGTCTCCATTTGCAATATTGTTTCTACGAATCTTCTCACTTCCTATGCCTCGGATTTCACTAATGGTTATCATAGTCCTCTGGATTACCCAACACGCCAGCTCGTGGCAAATTCTTCTTCTCTGTGTCGCCTTCTTCGGCTTTGCCTGGATCGCAGTTCTCTTCCTACTGGCTCGACTATCAAAATCCCATAGTTGGATCCTCCCAGTTCTAGCATGTGGTCTAGGTGCTCCACGTTGGGCCCAAATATGGTGGGGAACATCGGGTTCTGGCCTATTCCTCCCCTGGGCTGGAAATTATACTTCGGGGGCTCTTGTATCCCGCAGTCTTTGGCTCTGGCTCGGGGTCTTGGATGCATTACAGGGCCTCGGGTTTGGTACGATTCTGCTGCAAACACTGACACGTATGCATATCTGCTTCACACTTCTGGTGTCACAAGTCTTGGGCTCTCTCGCAACTATTTGCGCAAGAGCGTTTGCACCGAACAATATTGGACCAGGGCCTATCTCGCCAGATATTACGTCTGGTGTGGGTGCGTTAGCTAATGCTTGGTTTTGGGTTGCTCTTCTATTACAGCTCTCGATATGGTATGTGATCCCCTGTAATAACCTTTGGATTCTGTCTAACTTTCGGATAGTGGTGGCTTTCTTCTTTTCTTCCGAAGGGAGCAACTATCGAAGCCCTGAAAAAATGTTGATCTGGTTTGTTGAAAGTGGGTGGAATGTATTTGCAGTTCAAGTTCTGCAGTGGTGTCGAATTTCCTTGCGTACATTGATATAATTTCTTGCTTTTTGTTCGTGTGGCTGTCAATCAGAAACAGCCCTTAGTGTCTAATATAATGATATAATATCAGTGAACAAGTAACAGCCTATATCCTAGTCACAAATAGTACCCAGCATGTCAAGTTTCATTGCCATGAACAGCAGAACCACAAGCTATCCCAAGTATTCCAGGGAAAGAAAAGCTTATCGGATTTGTTTTAGCGTCTATATAGAAATTGAACGTCTTATCCGTCCCTATCCAATCGATAAGTATGAAAAATCGTACATATCCCTTGCTTCGCGGGATTAACCATAGAGGCACCTCGAAGGAATTGCCAGCTACCCATCAACATGGCGACCAAGGATGTATTTGATGGCTCGACAGACGAGAATGTCACTCTGGAGGATATGGGATACGAGCAAGAATTCAAACGATCATTCAGTTTGTTAGATATGGTGGGCTTCAGTTTCAGCATTGTGACCTGGTGAGAATTTCCCTCGAGTCAAGCCCAAGAGTCATGCCTAATTCCAACCAGCTGGACAGCCTTAAGCGGTGTCTTCATCATTGGCATCCAGGCCGGTGGCCCGCCTATCATGATTTTTGGCTGGATCGGGGTCTGTCTGTTCACAATGCTCATTGCCCTAGCCATGGCTGAGATGTGTTCGCGCTGGCCAGTAGCTGGGGGCCAATACTCATGGGTGGCAATGCTAGCACCGCCTCGCGTTTCCAGACAGCTATCATATATCACTGGGTGGTTTATGTTGACCGGTTCGTAGCCGTCTATGTTTGGTGAATACTTGCTGATCTATTCACTAGGACTTCTCGCCATGGGTGCGGTCTGCAATTCTTTGGGATCGAATTATATCCTGGGCCAAGTTAACCTGGTCTTCCCAGACTTCATCATCCAGCGCTGGCACACTGTCCTGGTTGCCTGGGCATTGGGGTTATTTTCTCTCGCCATCAATGTATCAGCACCACACGCTCTGCATCGTCTATCCCGCTTCATCCTGGTGTGGAACATCGTCTCATTTATCATTGTGATCACCACACTGTTAACAACCAAAGATCAGAAGCAAGATACAGACTTTGTCTTCCACGAGTTCCGGAATATGACCGGCTTTGACGCTCCTATGGCCACTATCGTGGGAATTCTACAAAGCTTCTTCGGCATGTGTTGCTACGATGCACCGAGCCATATGACAGAAGAAATGACCCACGCCAGTCGGGATGCACCGAAGGCAATTATCATGTCGGTCATCATGGGAGCTGTAACTGGATTACTCTTCCTCTTGACACTGTGCTTTTGCATGGGTGATATCGAGGCAACAGCCAATTCAAGCACCGGGGTTCCCGTCATCCAGATATTCTACGACTCGACCCAAAGCAAAGCTGGGACCTGCATATTGGCGAGTATGATCACTCTTATCATCATGATGTCGTCTGTCGGTCTTACCGCTGAAGGGTCACGATCAGTATATGCTTTTGCGCGAGATCGTGGGCTGCCGTTTTCGGGCTTGTGGTCTCAAGTTGAGCCGAAGAAGAAGATACCTCTTTACGCCATTCTTCTCACTGTGGGAGTGCAGCTAGGCCTGAATGCAATTTACTTTGGGACAGAGACGGGGTTTGCAACGGTAATTTCGATAGCTACGACGGGATTCTGTACGTTGACAACTCCAGGTGGTGATGAGCGTTAACCGGCTAATCTGAATATAATTTAGATGTTTCTTACAGTCTTGTCCTGTTTTCCAGACTACTTGGCTATTTCTTCCGTCCCCAATCTCCTTCCTTCGACGGACCATACTCATTGCCGCTTCCGGTGTCACTCGGTTTTAGTGGTATTGGCTTGCTATTTCTGTTATTCGCTTCTGTTACATTCAATTTTCCCTCCGATGCTCCGGTCACCTCCGAATCAATGAATTATACCAGTGCAGCTATCGGGCTGTTGATATTGCTCAGCCTTGTGACTTGGTTCACTACTGCAACAAATCGGTTTGCTGGGCCTTCGGATATCAGACATTTGATTGTCGATGGTGTAGAAAGCCTACCGGCACTACAGGCCGCGGATAATGTTGTTTCGGGGACGAGCAAGGGAGAGGGAGAGTAACGGTTACAATATTCTCCATTGGGAGATATGTATAGTCTATAGATTAATAAATGTACGTGATCAACATGATAGAGTACATAGAGCGATGAATACAGGAATTCGTTACATAGAACTACATATCCAAATCCACGATCATAATTCATTCTCGTTGAAATTCGTAGGCTATCCAAATTATATAATAGCCCATGATTAGCCCAAGGCAAAACAAAACACAAACAGTAGCCGCAACAAGTAGGGGAATATGATTTTAAAATCCAAAAGCGACACGAAAATGAGTTGGTGCCAATGACCAACTTGAGCACTTGAAAAACACAAAGAAGATTATTTACCACTCGAGAGGCTCGTTCTTCACATCACCGCGGTTGGTCTTGGGAACGGGAGCGGCCTCGACCATAGTCGCACCACGGCGGTCACGGCGGAGGTAGGCACTGCCATCCAACCAGGGGGTCTCAAGAGTGCGCTTAGACTCGAAAGTGCGGATCTTGGACTCCATCTGGAGAGTAAGACCAATATCATCCAGACCGTTGATAAGGCAGTGCTTGCGGAAGGCTTCAACCTCGAAGGAAGTGATCTTGTTACCCTCAGCATCCTTGATCTCCTGGTTGACAAGGTCAACCTCGACCTCACGGCCGGCGCGGGCCTCATCGGTGATCTTCCGCAGAGCAACCTCATCGGAGACGACAACGGGCAACATGCCGTTCTTGAAGGTGTTGTTGAAGAAGATGTCGGCGAAAGAGGGGGCAATGATACACTTGATACCGAAGTCAAGCAGAGCCCACGGGGCGTGCTCACGGGAGCTACCGCATCCGAAGTTAGGGCCGGTAACAACCAGGATCTTCGAGTTGCGGTAAATGCCCTGGTTCAGAACGAAATCGGGGTTCTCCTTGTCGTCGGTGTAACGGAGCTCATAGAACAGCGCGCTACCGAGACCAGTGCGCTTGATGGTCTTGAGGAATTGCTTGGGGATGATGGCGTCGGTGTCGACGTTGGCGCGATCCAGGGGCGCGGCGATACCCTTCAGGGTAGTGAAGGGGGGAAGACCGCTGCTCTTGCCACCGCTAGCAGGGGCCGAAGAGTTGGCGTGGGGCTCGTTGTCGGCAGGGAAGTCCAGGACACGGTCAAGTTCCTCCTCGGTCTCGGGGGACTCGAACTTGGGCTGCTGGACGTCGATCTTGGGCGAAGCCTTGCCAAGGACGGGGCTGGCTACGACGTGCTCACGAACATCAGCGAGCTTGCCGACGATAGCAGCAGTGGCAGCCATGGCGGGGGACATGAGGTGAGTACGACCTTGAGCACCCTGACGACCCTCGAAGTTACGGTTGGAGGTACTAGCACAGCGCTCCTTAGGGGACAGGATATCTGGGTTCATACCCAGGCACATGGAGCAGCCAGCCTCCCGCCATTCGAAACCGGCATCGGTGAAGATCTTGTCGAGACCCTCGGACTCAGCCTGTTCCTTGACGAGACCAGATCCAGGGACGATCATAGCGCGCTTGATGTTGGACGCAATCTTACGGCCGTTAACCACCTTGGCTGCGGCACGCAAATCCTCGATACGGGCGTTGGTACACGATCCAATGAAGACCTTGTCAACGACAACATCCTTCATAGGTGTACCAGGAACAAGACCCATATACTCAAGAGCCCGCTTGCAAGAGTTCTTGCGGTTCTCATCCTCGAAGTCATCGGGGCCAGGGACAACACCAGTGATAGGAACCACGTCCTGGGGGGAGGTACCCCATGAGATGGTGGGAATAATATCCTTGCCATCAATGAAGACCTCGCTATCGTACTTGGCTCCAGCGTCCGACTTCAGGCTAGACCAGTAGCTGGTGGCCTTGTTCCACTCTGCGCTGCCGTACTTGGGGGCCAGAGGACGGCCTTTGAGGTATTCGAAGGTGATTTCGTCGGGTGCGATCATACCGGCACGTGCACCACCCTCAATTGACATGTTGCACATTGACATACGGGCCTCCATGCTGAGTCCACGGATGACGGATCCACAGAACTCAATAACAGCACCATTACCACCAGCAGTGCCAATGACACCGATGATGTGGAGAACAACGTCCTTACTAGTAACGCCAGCGGGAAGCTCACCATCAACCTGGATGCGCATGTTCTTGCTGCGGCGGGTAATGAGTGTCTGGGTTGCGAGGACGTGCTCGACTTCACTGGTTCCGATACCGAATGCGAGGGCACCAAAAGCACCGTGTGTGGAGGTGTGGCTATCACCGCAGACGACAGTGGTGCCAGGCAGAGTGAAACCCTGCTCTGGGCCAATAATGTGGACAATACCCTGACGCTTGTCGCCCATACCGAAGTAGGTGAGGCCGAAGTCCTTTACGTTCTCTTCCAGGGTTGTGCATTGGAGACGCGAATCATTCTCCTTGATGAAGTCCGCGGCATTTTTGAAATTCTTTCGTGAAGTGGTGGGGATGTTCTATGCGAAAGAAACAATTCAATTAGTCGTGAGTTGCCAATGGATATGGGATTCAAAACATACGTGATCAACTGTGGCCAGAGTGCAGTCCGGCCGGCGGACTGTACGGCTGGCGTTCTTGAGACCCTCGAAGGCTTGTGGAGATGTAACCTCGTGAACAAGGTGTCGGTCGATGTAGATCAAGCAAGTTCCATCTTCTTGCTCATTGACGATGTGGTCTTGGAAGACCTTGTCATACAAGGTCTTAGGTTTTGATTCGGCGGAAGGCATGGTGGGGGATATAGAGTAGCTAGGAAGAGAGGATATGAGGAAAAAGGATTGAGGATGAGAGAAAGGAGGGATAATAGGTGAGAGTCCCAAGGAAGAATAATATAATCGTAAGTAACGAAACTTGGAAAACTGGAGTGGCAATGCCTGTTATATTTTTCTGCTCTGAAGCATCCGCGATGTCGCTACGAAGCTTCTCGAGGGGCAGGGCCGATCTCGGCCGGTCAGCGGCGAATATTAAGAATTTTATTGGCCGAAGTGTGACTCAGCGGATGGCCGATATCGGTCAATATTGGATGATCCAAAAAAGGGAAAGCGGCTATCGACGCTTTATGACGGAGCCCGCAGGACGCCCGTAGACCGCTCCGGACCAAGTTTAATGCGAATACGTTGATTGGCTGTACCTTCCAAGGTTCCGCCTCCGATCGGCCCGCCAATTTTTGACTCAACGCTTGGAGGCTTAGCTGTGGTTGTGTACATAAAACCCTATGATTCTGGGGAACTTCAATATACTCCTATATACCTTTATTCATGAGAGACACATATGTTCTCAACAGAACTGTCAAATTTTGAACTTGTTACATAGTCTAACAATCTACCAAAGTCATTTACAACGCCAACGCCGCATCCCTAAAGCAAAATTTCATGAGGGAACCCCATAGGTTACCGAGGCGAAGAGCCCAGATCGACCACAATCCTCTTTCCAGACACTGAACCACTCCGCAATGTCTCGAGTGCCGCATTAATACCTTCCAAGCCACCCTCTGCATGAACAATCTCTGGTAATGTAAGATTCGTCGATTGCAGAAGATCTTCCAACCAGCACACCATAGCTTCACCCACTGCAGGAGCACTATGGAAGAGCTTAATGGGCACAGTGTGGTATTGTATCCCCGGGTTCTTCTCTTTAGGCAGACCGGTTAATCCAAGGAGATGGGCGTGGCCATCAGGATCAAGTGCCTTTTCAAGCTGTGTTGCTGTGTCTCTTCCGACTATATCAATAGCATATCGCAGCTTGCCACCAGTGACACCGCGGATAATTTCCACTGCACGATCAGGGTCATGTCGATCGACTAGCAGATCTGCACCGGACTGCACAAGCTTGGCACCATGCCGTGCGGCATCGGCTACACAAATCACACGTAATCCGGCGAGTTTGGCCAGCTGGAGAGCTATGAGACCAGTAGTTGTTGAGGCTGTAGTATAAATGTCAGTGGCCAGACCACACTAATAGAGGCATTGGTTGTCTTACCTCCCCAGATAGCAACCCAGTCTCCACGTTGTGGCTTTTCTGAGTCCAGTAATGACGCGAAGCATTCTTCATGTATATCGGCGGGTATATCATTTCTGTCGAGCTTTTTGATAATATTGGGTAAATTGGGGCCGGGGACCTGTGTGATGAGAGAGAAGTCTAGTCCAAATGAGACACCCAAAGCCAAGGCAGCAGCGACGAATGCCACTCCGACAGAAGCCGATGCGTGGATAGATGTTGAAGAAGGAATTCGGGCAGCATTGAAGTCGGTAGCAATGGCGTATTCTTGGAATGCTGCTTTCCTAATATCCCGATAATCTGTTGATGGAACCAGCACAACGTCGCCTACACGAAGACGTGATGACCCTTTGGGGACTTGTAGTACAAGGCCAGCTAGATCCCGTCCGTTGATCCATGGCAGGCTGGGGATACCAAAGTTGAATGCCCTAAATCGATTCATCGGTTAGTCATTGACTATTTTGGCCTTGAAAGAGTCCTGATTTTCAGAACTGCAGAAGATGAATACTTACGGTCCCTTCCAGTCAATAGGGTTGAGGCCGATTGCGAGGACCTGCAAATCAATCGTTAACATATTGTTTTACACAAGATCCAGTCAGCGCGGCCTATCATACCTTGACAAGAATCTCTCTGTCGTGCAAGACAGAAGGAATAGCATGGTCATCAACTAATGCGTATTGTTCACGGGCCCCCTTGAGAAGCAAGACTCTTTGTTTTGACTCCTCAGACCTCGGCGATGGGGGCTCACTCTCAGATCTTGACTCATTAGAGTAATCTGAGATAGACTCCGAAAACAAGTTTTGGTGGAAAGTAGTCGGGGTCTTCTGCAACTCTTCGAGTTGGAGGCAGGTAGAAGTGGTCGACATGATGCTCGGGGGTAGTAATGGCATGACTTGAAGCTAGATTCCAGAACGTTAATCCAACTATTAGGCTCTATCTATATTGTCCTTGATGTTGGCTTATATGATCTCTCGGGCGAGAAGATAAAGCCAAAGCACGTCTCATCTTAGGGCGCGGGGC